TACAAAGAAATGCATGATGTAGGAACCATATTTCTAGGAAATATTGGTGTTCCTTGAAAGTTTTCAAAAACGGACATTTTCCTAGTTTATAAAAACAATGTTGAAATAATTTTCTCAATGTTGAGTTTTACCCATAAGACATTCTTAAACCTTCAGCCCTTTCTATTACCAGTTTCCTAGACTAGGTAAAAAATGTGATTCCTTAAAAATATGTATATGTATGCATCTCTGCATCTAATATGTATACCTTATTTCCTACTGGTTAGCTCCTACTTCACTTTATAGCATGAAAAATAACAACACTTCTCAGTGTCGGTATAGAACACCATGACCTCCAGTGCTCCAAATAACTTTATCAGCTTTACGACTTTATGGTTTATGGGAAAAAGCAAAGAAAGGCTTTGGATGCTGCTCAGATCTCTAGCTGTTTTCTTGCTCTTTCTGAAGTTATGCTACTCCAAGAGGCTGGGAGAATTATATGAAAGTATTTGTAAACTATATAGCATTGTATAATATTATTTCAAGCACAAGTAGCTCAAGGCAGAATAAAATGAACCCAGGAGGTAGGGAGGGTCTTTGACATAGAATTGGAAGATTTTTGCTTTTTTAAGTCTGTCGGTATTATGAAGGTTGAAAAAATCAAGTTATTAATTAATTCTTCAACATGACTTTGAGGGGAAAGCAGGATGGAGGGTCACTTCTGCAGCACTAAATTCCAGTGAAACGCCTGCTGCGAGGATTTATGAAAACTTGTCTACGTATGCTGTAAAATCCAGCGGCAAAGAAAGCTCTTACATCTGATATGCTGCTGTTTTATTATTTTTAATAACTTTCTTTCACTCTGATGTTCTAAATATTTTAGAGATATTTTCTCTGCTTTATAAATTTGCAGAAAGAGACATTAATACATCATTATAAAACCACACAAGTTGTATTAACTTCCTACTGCTGCTGTAACAATTTACTATTAACAAAGTGGTTTAAACTAACAGAAATTTATTAATAATCATACAGTTCTAGAGGTCAGATATCCAAATTGGGCCTCACTGGGCTAAAATCACATTTTCAGCAGGTCTGCATTCCTTTTGAGGCTCCAGGGGAGAGTCTGTTTCTTTGTCTTTTCCATCTTCTAGAGATCTCCCACATGCCTTAGCTAATGGCATCTCCTTCATCTTCAAAGCCAGCAATGGCAGGCTAAATTTCCTCCTGCTGCCATCTTCATGCTCTCAGTCTTCTGCCTCCCTCTTCCAATTTAGGGACCCTTGTGATTACATTGGACCCACCTGGATAATGCAGGAAACTCTTCCCTTTTGAAGGTAAGTCAATTAATGATCTTAATTTCACCTACAAACTTAATTCCCTCTTGCCAGGTAACATAACATAGTCCTAGTTTCCAGGGATTAGAATGTGGAGGGGCAGGGAGGAAGCATTATTCTGCCTACCACCCAGGTTAAATCTGTTTTTAAATCAGTTAAGTGTCGGACATATAATATGGCAGATACTTCACAAAATCCTTGCCCTCCTAATCCTCTGAGGCTTGGCTTTGGAATGTGGAGGGTAGGAGAGGGTGAGGGAGAACTTGTTAGGGCTAAGCAGTGATGTGCTATTAAACTTAACTGGCTCTAGCCGCGAGGAGGAGGGGAGATTGATTTGTGGGCATTATGAAATTTTGAAAAAAATTATTTACTGATTTCATGGTGAAAAAATTCCCACATGATCAGTATCAAGCTCCCAACATAAAGTCAAGTAGTTCAAAAAAATCCTGAAAATGTAACAATCCACTCTCTTGAACCAGTAGGAGGCAGCTCTGGCACACCGCAAGAAGACTGCGAAACACCAACATGGTCTAGCACAGGGAAAGCATGCTTGACTGAGGCATACCAGTCCCTCCCAAATCACCCCTTCATCCATAGAATTATCTCCTCCTGGACCCCACTGACCTGACCAGATGCTAAAGAGCTGGCTGCCATTCACAGCCCTGTGCTTGCTGAGAATCAAAGAACATGTGCTGGCAGAGCATGCAGTTTACTCTCCCCTCCCTCACACACAGGCGCTGACTAATTAGAGACCCAGGGAAACTGAAGGGGTGAAGGGTCAGACCAGAGGCCAAGAGAGAGGCTCTCAGGTGGCAACAGGCTGCATGGGTTCTACTGGGCTCCGAATTCCTGGACAGCAGCCACCTGCCTGGGGATGAGGACAGTATTTTGCAGGCTAATGTCCATGTGTGTATACTGTGCATTTTAAAGAATAAATGCTCCATAAGCACAGCTATTATTGCTTCTCTTGGCCATTTTCACACTGGCTATGTGAAATATGCCATTTCTAGATGGCTAATGTCCATTTTTCTTTTGTCTGACACAAGCTACTAAATACGCTCCCATTTAGTGTAAAAAGCCACAGATTTATATACAACAGGAAGATCAGGGTCATGGTGGCAATGCCAGCCAATTACCCAGAGAAACCAAGCCTGTGGAAGGACTGAGGTGGGCTGCTCACTCTTTTGTAAGGTAGTTTAGATCAATCCTCTTCCATGTTTATGTACACAAGAATCACATGGAGAGCCCGTTAAAATGAGGATTCTGGTTCCGAAGGTCTGGGGTGGGGCTCATGATTCTATTTTTCTAGTGAGAGATGCCAGAACTGCTGGTTCAGGGACCACATTTGGAATGGAAAGGATCTACGTATTCTGTCTTCCCATCTCTCACTTTCAAACAAATTTATACCAAGAGTTATTACATACTAGAAAAGCCAACCCAATTAAGATTTCTATAGTTAGTGACTACTGGACAACTAATGTTATGCTATAACTTGGAACGGGAAAAATGCTGCTTTTACTTAATGTTAAAGAAAAACATTTCAGCCACTAACATATCTGAATCATATACATTATTTGACACCTGAATAAATTTGTTATAAATGACCCACAAGCCAGCCAGTTATGGGTACTACATGACAACTAGTAAATGACTTTTAAGTTAAGAGGATGCAATACAATAATTCTTCAGAATCTGCAAGCCTCTTAACTCAGTTCCTGGTGATGATTTCATGATTGTCCTAGTTCCACCTGCAATGCACAAAAACTATATTCTGTGTAAGGGGGCCACTCCTCTACAATCACAAAGCCAAAGTGTGAGCCTTTGAAGAAGAAAATGGAGGGAGGGGGAGTTGGATGAAAAAAGAATGGGGAATAGAAAAGTAGAAAGAGAGAGGAAAATGGGTTTTAAAAGGTTTATAATAAAAATGTTTTCAGTGAGGGTGTAATAGCTAATCAGTTGGAAACAAATTGTTGAATTGAATTTGTTTAATTGAACTTTGTCTAAACAAAGTTACTTAACTCTTTTCTTTATACCTCCAGAATTTCACCGCAGTTCCACATTTAAGTCCAGTCATCTCCTCCCCTAGAGCCCACATCTCTACAGATAATCACATCTAAATCTTTAGATGTTCCTAGGCCTTGGGAGAAAGATGAGATAGGACTTACGGACTCATTTTACAGAAATGCTGGGTTGGCCAAAAAGTTCATTTATTTATTTATTTATTTCCTGTAAGATGGCTCTAGTAGCACTTAGTTGTCATTAATTTCATTTGAAACAATTTGGTTAGATTGTATTGCAACAGCTGTCCTATCAGCATGCATTTTTTAAAAACTTATCAAAATTGGTGAGTTTTTGTGCGCCAATATGCTTTATTATTTCAAGAAAGGTAAAAACACAACTGAAATGCAAAAAAAAGAAAAACCATTTGTGCGGTGTATGGAGAAAGTGCTATGACTGATTCAATGTGTCAAAAGTTGTGTGTGAAGTTTCATGTTGGAGATGTCTTGATGGACGATGATCCATGATCAGGTAGACCAGTTGAAGTTTATAGCGATCAAATTGAGACATTAATTAAGAACAATCAACATTATACCATGGAGGAAAAGCTCACGTACTCAAAATATCCAAATCAATAAAGTTATAGGTGAAAATGAAAAATGTGTCATTTATGCAAAAACTAAATGGACTTTTTTGGTCAACCCAATAGCTTAGGAAGGAGCACAGCCTGTTTAAGGTCACACAGCAAAACAGGACATCTTCCCAGAAAAAGTCAGTCTGCTCCCCAGCAGGTAGAGAGCTCCTCAGAGGAAGAAAAGACTCATATACTCTTATGCATTCTATAAGTCATCAGCTTTTGGCTTCACTGACTCTGGTAAAAATATTTATTGTTTGGTAACCAGGTTTAAATCTTGAACAAACAGTTAATCTTTAAAAGAAATAAAAAATAGAAGGAGAGGAAGACAGACAGGCAGCAGGAGTAGGAGTTACACCCACAGCAGGTGTCATACTTGGTAGTCAGTCCCCTTGACCCTAAACCTTCAGCAGTCAAAACCTACCACAGTTTGGGACTTTGCAGGGAATGACAGTAGGAGGAGCGGGTGTGGGAGAATAACACTACATTCTTCGTTCTTCTCTAGCAGATGAACATTTTTAGGAGGCTCATTTTCCCAAGTCGCAGAATAAGTATCAACACTAAAAACACTTGAAGGTTTGAAGAGATCTTATCACTATCACTGAAATGCAAAGGCACTCTTTCTCTTCTCTGGGTAAGAGAGTGTGTTCACCTATGTTACACTCACCCTGGAAAAGTCAACATTTGGATAGAAATATGGTTATGCACCACTGACTGCCATTGTTACTAACTGCTTTGCTGGTAGTAAAATATATAGTGATTACCTCAATAACTCACCTGAGAATCAAGATAGGGTGGTGAATTTGAGCTCTGAGGTCCATTGGCCTGAATTTGAATCCTACTTGTATTTACTGGCTGTGAGATCTGGGCAAGGTATCTACCCTGTCTGTCTCAGTTTCCTTATTTGTCAACTAGGTGATAAGAATAACATATACTTTGTAGGGTTATTGTGAGAATTAAATTAGTTTGTATATGGGCCATGTCTAGAAGAGAATCTGGCACATACAACACCTTCAGTAAATGATAGCTAGTCACCCTCTCCATCGTCTTACCTTCTGCCTCTGAATTGCCTTCATTTTTTGGATTTCGGCTTCTTCAGCTTCCTTCTTGATTCTTATAGCTTCTTCTCTTTTTAGCTAAATTGTATTGAGATTACAGAAGACAAAAAAACAGTGACTATTCTTTTCAGTCTGAACCTCTGGAACACAAAATTGTGATGAAAGGCAAATTACAGTATTGTTTGTGCTATACCTCACCATGATTACAGGTTGGGACTTCAAGCCACTTAGATCACAGAGAATGGTCAGGCTACTTCTGCCTATGAAATTTCTCAATGTATTTCTTCCTTGGTCTCCCTGTCTCTCTGCACATTCCTCCACCCTTTGGGTCATGGAGGAAAAAAAGTGGGCAGATCATTTTTTTTCTCATTATAAAACTCAGTTCATTGTAAAAAAAATGACTAAGCACCTTAATTTTTTTTTTTTACTCCTTTCATGACTATTATTGGGTAAACAAATCTGTACTGTTGGAATCAAAATATTCAAAACATAATAGAGTTAACTTAGGAAAAAATACCTAAATCAGAGATCCTGCTAATACACAGCCTAGATGAAAATTCTAGATATTTATCTCTTCACTTCTCAATCCTGATTTCTTTGCTTTTGAGAGTTTCCTTTTGCAATTGGTTGAAAGGTTTTACACTTTCGGGTAAGTTACTGTGTTGTTTCATGGCTGCTAGAAAGTGCTGGTGCTCAAATTCCTTGCCAAAATTAAACTAAAAGAGATGGATTCTGACCTTTTGCTGGTATTTAGATTGCATCAGCTGGAGTTGTTGCTTCTGCCTGACTTCAGCCTCTGACTCACTTCCACCTAAAGGAAAAAATAAAGTCATGAAGTGGAAACATGAATGTTAAGCTGAAATGTCAGGCATCAAAAACTAATTAATGCATGACAAGACAACACCATGAGTTTCTTTAACATTTTCATACCTCTAGAAATAAGGACATACCCAGTTTTCTTAATAAGACATTAAAGAATGGTAATCACTTAAAAGAGAAAGAGAGCTAGACAAAAAGGCCATATTCCTGAAAAAACCAGCACAATCCTACTAAAGTTTTTCAGACGTGCCAGTATTCAGGTTTTAATTTAGATTGAAATCACACCTGAAGGTCCATACTAAATATAAGAAATAGTTCCTGTCTTGGAAATTATAGAGCATTCCTCCTGCTTGAGTATGACCATTCCTTAACCTAATAAAGATGATGATCACTTATGCTTCCATTGCTTTTCTTCTTCTGACCCTCGTGCTCTATAATCAAGTGGGAAAGGTCAGGAAACCCTCAGGCTCTTGCCACTAAACAAATACGGTCTTTATAACCCAGTTTTTAAAAGCAGAATGGAAATATTCTAGTTAGTAATTAATAGCCAGTCTAAACTATTTCTTGTTTTTCTTTAGGCATTCAAGAGAAAAATATGAATGTTAGATTATGTGCCGGCTCCATCTTAAACCTAAAGTAATTTGGGGCCAGAATGCACCTTGATAATCGTCCATGAATTACTGTTTAGGGGTTTCTCAGCATTTATGCAAGCTTGGTGCATGTTTTATAAAGATCCCTTTGATACAATTCTCTGGTGTTTTGGTCTCTAAAAGTGTCAGTTCTCTGAAAGATTCATTCTCACAGAAGATGCTTTAAAACAATTTGCATTCATCATAGTTTTTATAATTGAACTGATAAAGACATTATAGAAAATTCTCATGTAAGTCCCAAAAGATATATAAAGCCTGTTTGGTTTTGACCCTCCTATCTCCGTCATGGGAGTTGAAGGAAAGGGAAAGAAACAGTGAGGGTAATTGAAGCTTTACCCAATATTATAGCCACTCTCATTATCTTCTCAAACTATTCCAATATTTTCAAGAGTAGAAGAAAAGGGGAAAAGCTGAGAATAAAAAACAAATGAATGAAGTCAGACGTCTAAGTGTTACAGGTTGTGTTCAAAGCTCATCAAAAAATTTAATATATTCTAGAAATTTTTCTCTACCCCCTAGCCTCTTCGTGCACAAATATTCTTGGCCATTTTTAGATATGACAAAAACGAGAGTCTGTTCATTTTTAGATAAGGTCCAGTGACAAGAGGTGCCAACCATTCCAAATTCCAAAACAAGGTACTTGGGGCCCTAAGCAGGATCTTCAAGGGGTAACTGAACCAGTTTGGGGACTGTTAACTAGCAACTATCTTCATCCTATAAAAGAGGTTGGATAGGTCAGATGGAGGTAAGTAATCAGAGAAAAGATGTCTTTGTGAATCTCATCTTCTCTGTGTGTTTGGGGAAGGAAAAATCTTCACACAAAGATGGACAAGAGAGGTTTAATGAAAATCATATGGAGATCTCAATCCGTGTCCCCAAAAGGCTGAGGGGCCTAGTGGACCCAGGCATAGAAAACTCAGAGCCTAAAGGCTGTTGTTAGTTGACGACTTAGAAGAGGTGGCTGTCTGACTATGGCCTGTGTTCTCAGAACTCGTGGCCAAAAAAGGACAAACAAGTATTTCTGGTACTCACAATCTGGACTGTAAAAAAAGAGAATGTTAATCTAAAGCCTAAAGGGACTTGCCCATGTGGGCCACCTGGAGGAACAATGCAGGCCTCCAAAGAGATGCTACCAACCAAGAGCCAAGCGTACCAGCAGGAAAGTGTGCCCTCTCTATCAGAAGAATCCAGGTGAATGATGAAGGCAGGCAAGAAGGGACTCGGAAGAACGCCAAGAACCCCAGGGGGGAGCATGCACAGTAAGCAAAAACCAAGACTGGCAGTAACTGGGATTAATCTCTCTTATCTCCCCTTCTCCCTTTGATCCTGGAGGGGTTAGTATATGGAAACAGAGCAGCCATCAGTGAAAAATTCCGCTATGCCCCCATTTCCTTTGCCAGCCTTCTACCCAAAATAGACCTGGACTGGAGGGTGGGAAAAGTTTTAATCTCCATTTGTAGCTGTTTTGACCAGTAGCTAGAACTGAAGATTAATTACTAAAATGACACTGTTCTATGCCTACAATTGGCTGAATAACGTTACTGGTTGAGAAAGACAAAAAAACAAACAAACAAAAACAAACGAATTTCATCCAAATATCATGGGAAAAAATTAGTCCCACAGGGCCAATTTGAAGAGGCCAATCAGGCAGGACAATGGTGTTTTCTGGTGTACCTCTCAAATCTGGCTCGTTCAGTGTAAAGGTGACACTTGATTAACCTTTCTCATGAAAAAGAGTGGAGGGATGGTGATAATACTATTACTTTCATCCATTAAATTATTTCCAAATTAACTTATTTTTACCTATATCTTGGAAAAATATATTTCTCTAAAACTATTAGGATAGCAAGAGGCCCTTGACACTTGATACATTTGTATTAACTAATCTGTGGAAACTATGTCCCCAGCCCTTTAAGTTCTTAGCTGCTGCTACAAAAGAAAAGGGAAGAAAGGACTGAATGATTCCCATTAGAGAGCCTCCCCATTGGAAAATTCAAACACCAAGCAAAGGCAGCCCAGACAATTCATCACACTGGCAGCATGTGCTTCCGAGGCCCAAAGGTCTCTATCTGCCAAATAAACAACAGAGGTGACGTTTCTCTTTACACCTACCACGGGGTGAAATGATTACTATGCTTGTGATAGCTTTTACTCCCATCCTGACTAGTGCTATGACAGGGCATATGCAGTGCCCCAGGTGAGATTTGTTCGGACTTGATCATTGAAGAGACTCTAAAGTATTTGGCAATTAAGTCATCACTTTATTCTCACATAACTGTGGCATCATACCTTTGTTACTTGCAGAAAATCAGAAGCAACAATATACCTGCATACTTAAGTGTTTCCATTTTAAATGCACTCCATTCGAGGAAGCACAGTGACCCAACAACCTGCAAGAGACATTCAAAGACAGACCCACGCGAGGTGCTGACAGGATCATGCACTCCCTGTCCTCCCCTACTCAGATGCTTACCTAGCCGCCTTGGCACCAGGTGAACTGGCTTTGCTCTCTGTTGCTCCTTCCACTTTGCCAGGTTCTCTAGCTCTTTCTCAGCAACTATACCAAGTGAGAAATACAAAATCATCAATTATTAGAATACTAAAAGGAAACTGGTCCCTTTAAAGCATTAAAAAAACCATCAGAGGGCAATTAGCCCTCCGCAAGCATAAGTGGATGAGATATCCAGGAAAGGAAAACACCATTCAGTTCTAACCCCTCAAAGTCACCCTGGGCCCACCTCTGTGGCACTCTTTGTCTATAGGAGGTTCATATCTGGAAAACAACCTGAACTCCTATTAAAATAAAGAAGTTTAGTTTTTCTTCCCATTCTAGAGAATGTGTACAAAACTAGAATATTCATGTCAATAAGAACTTTTCACACATAGGTAAATATATATCCCCAGGAATTCTAATGCCCATATTCTTTATTTTAAATGTTCCCCAAGCTTAATGCAACCATAGGGCTTGAGGGCCCCGCACTGCAGGTGGGCAACCTTGTTCTGGTTTCTGGCGCTTAAGACAGCAGTGCTTATTCCCCGAATATACACTGAGTGACAGCAGGGGGCGCCAGAGATACTAGTGCTGTACTAACGTAGGCCCGAATCTCCCCATTAGACATGATTGTTCCAAATGTCCATCTATAATGCTTTTTAATTATTAGAGAAAAATAACTTCTAAAATGCCTCAAAAATCTAGACCATACTAAAACTGAAATATCTAAATCAAAAGCTTGTGAGATGCAAAAACATGTTGGATTCTGCACAGCAATGTTTGTCATATTCTGCACTAACTTAGTTTTACCACCAGGGAAATACCTGTCTGGTGGTGACTCTTTATAGAATTGCTTTCCTGTTGTGCCCTTGTGTCCATCATTACTCATAAAATTAAATTTGCTACCAAGATCTAATAAAGGAGAGAACAGAATCTTGGTGCTAGTCCCACAAGTTAATTTGAACAAGCATCATAACTTCTTCATGAACTAAATTAATTTTAGTTCTCCTTCCAACTCTAATGTATAATGCTGTAACTTTAAATAACAACATATATTTTACTGTACAAATTCAATTAAATATGTTATACACCCACTAGGTATAAGCATAAAAACGAGTGTGGTCCCTGTCTTCAAACAGGTTATAATCTAGAAAAGAAAATTGAAGGACAGCAGGTCCCCCAATAATGTTGTTTCATTACAATGTTGATGCCATTGGAACTTAGCTCTTGTATATATCAAGTAGCCTATGGTAAAATTGGTTTCATTATACATTGTTTTACTTCAAGTTGCAGAACCTATCAACAATGTAAAGTGTATTTACCTACTATATGCAAATAAAAATAGCTGAGAGTAGACTGTGATAGTTACAAAACTATGGGAGCACAAAAACTTAAAAAATAATTCTATTAAGAAGAGATAAAACATATCAAGAAAAAGACTAATTGCATCATTATTTCAAGTACATAACTCTTCTATTTCAAAAGTATTCATAGTCCCATAAAAATATCTGCAGTCAGACCAACTTTATGGGAACTAAATGGGTCTATTGGCAATAAGTATGAATCTGTTAAGCCCAACAGAAATCTGAAATTTACAATCAAGCTATGAGTTCTGCTATTAATATAGAGAAACTAATTTAGAAGCATTAACAAAAGAGTAATTTTAAAAAGTATAATTAAGACTGCTAAAGTTAAATGAAGAAAAAAACTTAATGAGATCCAGTGAGTATATTCAAATCAGAATATAAAGACTTCAGACCAAAGCAAACCAATTGTACACTATAAGAAAATAAGAAGCTTTCTGAATGTTAAATAAATATACATACTCCTTTGAATCTGATTTCTTCGGTTTTCATTTGGTGCAATCAAGGTGTATGCACCTACTCTAGAATAAAGAAAAAAAACTGCTTATTATCATGAAAAATTACTAATGCCTATAAACCACCAGAAATTATTCCTGTTAATATACTGTATTTACTATCTTCACCATCAAATAGGTACTATGGAAGACAATCTTATTAAGAACCAGGTCTGTTCTCCAGAAGCTTACCACCTAATCGTGAAAGTAAAACAAATGCACTTGGCTAAATAGGGAATACAAAGCAGTTGGTAAGTGTCAAGTGACTGCTTCACCGTTGGCTCTTGGTAAATTCTCTTTGCAGGGATGCATTGCTGCTCTCGGTGGTGCTCATAGGAAGGTCCCTTTGTGATGGCTTTAGATTGGCATTCTCTTTCATGTGGCCGGTATTGGGTGTACAAAAAACGCTCAGGCATTCTTTCTTTTTTAAAAAAATTTTTTATTGTTGTTCTATTACAGGTGTCCCAATTTCCTCCCTTTGCTTTCTCTTGCTCCCCTACCCTCGCTCCCACAGTCAGTCCCCACCCTGTTGCCCATGTCCTTGGATCATTAATACTTGTTCTTTAACTAGGTCCTCCACCTTCTTTCCTACCCTATCCCCGTTGCCTCTCCCCTCTGGTCCCTTTCAGTCTGTTCATGCGTTCTTTGCTTCCACAAACTGGGAATATGGGCCATTTGCAATACAACCATCTCTTACACATTTTTCATTGAGTTGATTGAGGTGACACTGGTTAATAAAATTATAAGGTCTCGGGTATACAAATCTACAATACATCATCTGTATATTTTATTGTGTGTTCACCACCCCAAGTCAAGTCTCCTTCCATCACCATTTATCCTCCTTTAACCCTCTTCTACTTCCCCACCCCTTTCCCTCTGGTAATCACCATACTGTTGTCTGTGTCCATGAGGTTGGGGGTATTTTTAAATTTCTTTTTGGTTTGTTTTTTGTTTTAGGTTTATTTTGGGGTTTTTGTTTTGTTTTGTTTTGCTTAATCCTTTTGCCTTTTTTATCCAGCCTCCCCTCTGAATGCTGTCAATCTGTTTTCTGTATCTATGAATCTGTGTTTATTTTGTTTTTTACTTTGTTTTGTTCATTAGCTTCCACATACAAGTAAATTTATATATATTTGTCTTTCTCTGACTGGCTTATTTCACTTAGCATAACACTATTCAGGTTCATCCATGCTGTCGCAAAAGGTAAGATTTCCTCCTTTTTCTATTGTGTAAATGTATCAGAGCTTTTTAATCTACTGATCTACTGATGGACACCTGAGCTGCTTCAAAATCTTGGCTATTGAAAATAATGCTGCAGTGAACATAGGGGTGCTTACATTCTTTTGAATTAGTGTAGCCATCTCTTCTTGATGACCCATCTGAGTGGCCAGTTGGCCACCATCTTGTGCTTTTGAGCTTGACTCTTCTAGGCATGGGTCCCTCATTCTCCTTGGGATACTAGTTGAGAATGACTAGGAGCTCTAAGAAGTAAGGAGTCACTTCAATTCATGGGGTTATCAGGGAAAATTTTATTTATGCAAAAATATTCAACTCTAGTTATCAAGAAGCTGTTAAAATATAGTGAAGTTTTGAGGGCAGAAACTGTGCTTGATTGATCTCTATAGGCCCAGCACCTGGCACAGTGCCTGGTACAAAGTAGCCACTTGATGAATGTGGACTAAATTGAAACGAAATGATGCCAACATCCAGTCAGTGAGTCTGTGCCGCCTGGCTCTTCTTTGAAATGATTCATGTGGTCCCACAGGAGCATGAATAGTTCACAGAACAAAAATATAGCACAGCAACAGACTGTAGCATGCATGTGCTTACAGTGATAGAGGAAATGTTACGGAAAAACACAATCAGTTTGTAAATGTAGTTTTTCTTAAAAAAAAAAAAAAAGCCAGATACTCTTAGAAGTCTCTGTTCAACAGAGAATACACAATTTCAAAAAGCGAATTAGCAAAGATTGAACAGTAGAGGCCAAAAGCACTGATTAACAGAAGCCATTTCTTCCTTATCTCTTTGTGTTCTGAGCCTTCAGTCAGCTTCAAACTGGGCTTTAATTTTTGACTTGTAAATGGGAGGTATGCAACTACCTTTGCATACAAATGGGGCTGCTGGATGCCCAATTACCTAATGTATATCAGCAGACGTTGCATGTGTAGCCTAGCGTACACGCAGGTTATGAATACAAAATTAGGAGGCTGCTGCTGGAAATTAATCCCTAGTCCATTGCATATTCTTTGTTCAACCTAAGAAAGATTTTCCATTCCTCAATTGCCAACACTTACAGGAACTTGAGAGCTACAATTTTGTGGACAGGGCTTTGCAAACATGAATATGATACAATAGTGAGCCATTCTGCAGAGCCTTAAAGATGAAACATGAGATAATGGATTTAAGTGCCAACCAAGAAATGACTACACAATCCACAATGTTCACTAAGACTGTGGTATGGAGCTTCTCACTATAACAGCGATTTGACTGCGGTGCAGATCAATCATTCTTAAACCTTAGGGCACAGCAGAATCACCTGGAAGTTTTGTTAAAGTGCACAGTTTCTGATTCAGTAGGTCTGGGTTAGGGACTGATAACTTGCATTTCTAACAGTTCCAGGTAATGCTGGTGTTCTTGATCTGGGGACCACACTTTGAGAACTGCTACTATAGGCCAATCAAACTGACTTCGGACATCTGGACTAAAAGGGAACTTACGATTAATAAAAACTTTGGTAAAGACACATATGCCAAAATCATGAGGTTAATTGAGCAACAGTGCTGAGATGCAAACCCAGGACTTTTGACTTAGACCAGTTGGGCATCTGCAGCTAACTTTTCAGCTCAATGTAGAAAGCACAAAATATGACTGTCCTGAACTTCAGCCTCCTGATAGACTTCAAATAGTGATGTACTTAATTTAACTGAGCACCTATATGGACTTGTTGTGTTGGGGACAATACCAAAAACAGACAACAACCACTTTAACATTTTATGCTTTAGTTAGGAACAATCCATGAAACCACAAGAGAACGTTGCTAGGAGACCCAAACAAGAGCCCAAGTAAGATGAAAGAAGTAGTGAGAGACCCAGGCTGGAGGAGCTAGAGACCACAGAGGGGTAGAACACTTCAGAGAAGAATCGTAAGTTGAATCTTTAAAGATTGGGTCTAAGAATGGTTAAAGTGTTTTTTGCTAGGACTTTGATAAGAGCAGCTTTGTTGAGCATTTTCGAAGCTCCATGAGTCCCACTTATAAAAATTTTGCAAGATGTTTGTAAAAGGTTTCATCCTACAATATCTAATCTGATTAAGTTAAAGTCTGATAACATCATACTGGAATCTTTAGTTTTGGGAATAGTGCTGCTGCGGTCAACCTACAGTTAATGTGTACAGGCTGCAGGTACCCAGGCACAGTGCAGGGCCATGAAAAGAGGGGAAAAAATTGCCTAGCCCTGAAATCAGAGGTTTTTAACTGAAAGCACTTAAATATAACCCCAGGCTCAAGGACAGTGGTCCCAGTTATAAATGTTATATGTTCAAGATTTTTTTTATTGTATATTTTTCCATGATCGTTGCTCCCCCCATACCCTCTTCCACCGCCACCCTTGTCTTCTCCCCTCCTGGAGAATTTCTTAGCAACCCTCTTAGTAATATTTTATTGGCTGAGAATGCCAAATATAAATTATAATACTGAGAAGAAAGCACTGCCCAGGAATTTAGCTTCTACTTTCCTCTTACTTGCTACAGGAAGAATTTAAGTCTAAGGAATTGCTTTTTATTTTTTATATCATATGGCAGAGCAAAATACCTTTGAAAATAAAAATATTAGTCCCTTTTCTCTTAGTTTTTCCTTGACATGAATAACAAATATAATTTATTCATGTTTTCAGCCAATTAGTTCCCACCCACAGCAAGGGCCTCCACCGTCTGAGCTGCCCTGTCATCCCCTTCGGCAGCCTGGCTCAGGGCATCTCATCCACACAAGCGCAGCCTGCCTTTGAGTATTTAGTATTCCGGTCATTTCCTGATTAAGCAACATTCCAGCTACGGAAATAAATATATATCTTTGAAAATGAATTTCCTTAATCACCTCATTGAAATTTAATGAAATATCTCACTTTGTAAGATTGTTTTCACTTTCCAACAGCACATATCAGAGATATACTAAAGAAGAACATGTGAAAGAAGAACACAAAAAGAAAAATGTTTTCCTGAACCATAAAAAAATAAATAAATATATTCAAGAAATATTTTCTTTGTAACATCTCTCCTGAGCTACACAACGGTTTCTCTTGCATACATTCTTGCACAGTTTTTTTATAAAACCTCATCAATAAGCACTCTATGAATAAATGTTATGTTGAAGTTATGAAAAATATCTTGGCTGGCTTAAAGTATTATATAAATATATCCTCTGGTGTGTACAAACTGTGGATGTAATTTCAATTCTAATTAAGAACAACACTGGTTGACTGAAAAAAAAAACACAGTAAAGAGCAAAAATTATAAAAGGGTAAAAGATTATATTACAAATATAATTTCAAGCAGAATAGTAGACATAGTCTACTGTCCTATAAAAATTGTTTTGAGATTTTCATAGTTTAAAAAAATCTTATCCGTGGGTGATATTGTAAAAAAGAAAAATTTTTGGTTAATCAAAGGCACTGGATAGAGATTTATTTTCTAGATAAGGCTTTCCATATTGTTTTTTGCCAGGTGACCTTCATTATCTCCCATGTGGAAGGGTTTGTGAATTCACTTTGGTTTCAGAATGTGCAGTGCCCAAAACATTGTCTGCATACCCAAGAGGCTAATTGATGTGAAGCTGGTTAGTTCCATAACTCACAGCTTCTGTTAGAGGGCTGAATAGATGCCCAGAGGACTGAACAGATGCCCAGAGGAAAAAGATAAACAAGAGATCATCAGAGCCTTTGTTCATGAGATGCCTTATAAAAACTAGAAGGAAGAACACATGCACACACACTCCCCCATATCAGGATTCCCATGCAGGGCCATAGCTTAGTGAGACA